TTGTTTTTTTCATTCTCCATGGGCCGTGCTACGCTTCACCGCAGTGCAATACAAAGGCAACACTGAAGGGACCGAGCAGGCAAGCCTGCCCTTATGGCCCCTCCAGTAGCCCTGAAAAATTAATCCCTAAGAAAAACCACTTTGCGTCCTGGTCGCCCGCCGCCAAAAATGTGACACCTTGACACAGGCGCCGAACCCCAGTAGACCGCAGTCTTAGGGCTGCAAACTTCTCCAAGCACCAACGAGGGGTACCAATCCAAAGCGGTTTGGGAAAAAGAGCCGACCACAAAAAGGGCGGACGTTCTGGCAGGCGTTTTTGAGGGTAACGGAAACTATGAGGGCAACTTGGTTACTTCCATGCACCAACCAGGGGTACCAACCCAAAGCGGCTTGATTGCTAATGAGACAATCAATCAGTTGGCAGCCGTCAAGATGGATGCCTACGACGGATGGGAGCGACCGGTAGAGGGTCGGTAGCCGGGCAGCCCGACCCGCTTGCCAGGGGAACGCTGTCTGATGAGTCCGCTCTTTCGTTCCGGCCGCCACCAGCAGCTCACAACCCAACCGTACAACTTTTTGAAACGTTGTTATAGCTATGAACCTTCCCGCCGGATAGCTATGAACATTCCCGCCTGGAGTTCTTCTATTGATATCGGTATCAGTATCAGGAACGGTCCATTTCAAGGTTGGGCATACGCGTACATAAACATAATAATAATAATAATAATATTCAACGCATCCAAGCGCATATTCCGTCCACATTCGTCCTGGAAAGTCCAAGGGGGGGACCACAGATCATGACCCCTACCGTAGTAGCCCGACGGATGCATTCTGGTGGAAAATGGCCCCCGAGCGGCTATGTGAACGGGTCAATTGGGCTAAGCTCTTTCCTGGGGCGTGGTCCCACCTGTTTGAGTAGGGGTGCAGACAATCGCGAGGAAACCGATGTTCTGTATCTCTGCTAAAATCACGTCCACATTCGAGCTGAATACAATCCTGATGACTACGGTAGTGGGGACCTCGCCCCGGTCGAGGGGGCCAATAGGTCGGAGAGACACAAGGAGGCAGGAGAGCATACACGCAACAGTTTTTGCTGGGAGCGCGGTTTTCATTTTCCCTGCCAAGGCATCTAGGGCTGTAGCGCTGCAGAATCAGACTGGCATCTTCATCAGGACCTCACAGCCACAGCCGCAGTCGTAGCCGTGTTTCCCAGCTGGCCATAGCCATCTTGACGACGGCATAGCAGCCGACGGTTAGGTCGCTTTTTTCCGTGTGGCAAGCGTGCCATTGCTGTTAGCTGGACTAATTAACGTTGATTGGCCATCTTGACGACGGCATAGCACGCCAATCAACGTTAATACGTTAGATGCACTAATGTACGCCATAGCCGTCTTCACGTCGAACAGTTCGTCTTCCTCTACTCTTGCTTTCGTCATAGTGGCCGCCATAGCCATGGAGGTCATCACGTAAGCTGTTTGACGTTTCCTCGCGTTTTGCTGTCTTGAATGCGTTGTTCCTCCGTGCTCATCGACGTCCCAACGAATTCGACCTGCTGCTATCTCTCTTGTCGATTTCTCCGCGTATTGCCCCCCCTCTGTCTCTCTCTCGCTCTCTCTGTGTTGTTGTCTTCCCTTGCTCTCTTCTCTCTGTCCACCTCTCTCTACGTTTTCTGTGGAGGATCGGTGGGCTTGTAGTCTGCTGTGGAATTAACCTGAGAAAGGACTGGAGGAGTGCAACATAGTAGAAATCTCGTATTGTTGGCGGGAGGAATCAGAACAGAGGCGCGGACGTGGCGTGAGTTTTGGCGGAGAGACGGCGGGGTTTTAGCGGGAGGGAGCGGAAGAGGCGATAAGTGGGGAGTTTGGTTTTGGCGGGAAGGAAGGAGAGTGGAGAGTCGTCGGGGGGTTTTGGCGGGAGGGAGCGGAAGAGGCGGCGATAAGTGGGGAATTTGGTTTTGGCGGGAGGGAGGCAAAAGCAGGGTGGGATTTTTGACTGGGTGGGACGCAGGTTGTCTTATGTGCGATGTCGTCAATGGAAACTGATGACTCGTGGGTAAGGGGTGGAGTAGGTAATCGGTATCGGCCTGGGAGAGGGGGGTTGGGTGGAAGAGGGGGAGGGATTGGAGGGGGTCCAGGAGGAATGGGGGGAGTGAAGGTATGCCCTTATTTTCTTCAAGGGAAATGCAAATTTGGGGATAGCTGTGCATGGTTCCATCCGGCTATGGGGGATATGGGAATGAATGGCGGGGGGGGGGGGGGGGGGTTGGGGGGAAGAATAGGTGGTTTAGGCCCGGGAAGGGGGGCGGGCGGAGGAGGGGAAATGCCAGCGTCAGGTTCTCTGAGCGGTTCGAAACGTGGCTCACTGGGCAGGGTGGATGAGAGGGGAGGGGGAGGGGGTTCTCCCCAAACCTCTTTCGTAGCGTCGCAAGCTGTGGAGAGTGGGAGGGAGGATAAGAGAGGTAGAGGAGATGGAGGAAGAGGATGGGGGCGCGGGGGCGCTA